ATTGACTACGACTTATGACTTATTTCTTAACTGTTTACTAACTTAACATAAAATTACTGATTAACTTTCTTATTGTTAGCTTATTGACTTATTTATTTCTCTCCAGTCTAGGTGTCCAGTGTAGTGCATATTTCTACATAAAAGGTGGCGGTGATCTCCGGCTAGATGGCACTATCCGGCACCGGCAAATCAGTGGGCTTGCAGGATTTTCTCCAACCAGGTATCTCCCACAAGCTGAACACCGACCCAGTCGGATCAAGCTCTAAGCTTCCGACCTACCTCCCGTCATGTGTGGTAGTGTAGTGCATATTAGTGTAAGCCGATCCCGGCTTACGTCTGTGTTCAGCTTGTGGGAGATACCTGGTTAGAGAAAACCCTGCAAGCCCACTGGTTTGCTGGTCCCGGATAGTGCCATCTAGCCGGAGATCACCGCCACATTCCAAGTAGAAATATGCACTACACTTGCGGGAGTAATAACGTGAGCAGTTGACGCGCCCGGAATCACTAATCAATGAACCGATCAATCCAAAAAGCACAGGAGGCCTGTCCTGCGATCGCCCTGCAGTCAGTTTCACCTCGCTGCTCTGGCAACACTTGTATCAATGACGTAACCGTAGCCAATGTTACGAGAAAGTATGTGATGTTGCAACAGCAAGAGTTTCTGTGCCATTTGCTGCTTCGTCATCACGTTGTGTCTACCGTCGTCTTTCTCTCTTGTGGCTTCGCCATTCGTTCGCGCCCCAACGCCTCTTCAATTCGCGAAGAGGGGCGGACACCGCAAGATAAGACACGGCTGCGTGTGGGGCAGCGAAAACCAGAAAATTCGTAAAGCAGCCCGACGATCGAAAGCAGGGTGCGTAGCCGACTCTTTTCGCAATCGCAAGCTCAATAATTCCCGGATTTTCGGTCGACGGGTAGATGGTGGGTTCTTTCGGGGCGCATATGTATCCGCCACTTCTCGTCCCAATGTAGTTGGCTAAGCGGGTGCCGTTTCGGTTTTACCGAGGCAGCCCCACTGTCTGTTTCTTGCATTGAAATCCACTAGGATGAAACTTTTAGTATCTAACACGAGTATTGCATCGGTACAGGCGGTGTCTAGTTGCTGATCTGGGCAGTAGATGGACGCGATTGTAAGTCTGCCGCCGACCGTCTAAGCCCGCACCACGACTGCCTCTAGAGAACGCAAGTCGTCAGGTGGGGTCGTTACTTCGAGCTCGGAGATGTCTCGTCAGACCAGGAGCGCATCACCCCCCCCCCCCCCTTGACCTCGCGGTTTCGGGGATACACACGTATGCCTGCTCATGAAACCACGTTTCCTGCGGCGCAAAAAAGTCGAGTTGTCGCTTGATAGCTAAGTTTTGTATCACCAGGGCCTTTCCGCATGCACTTTGAACATTCCAGGTGCATGTTTGCAGTGGTGCTTTGCAATGAGACGGATAATTTAGATTATTCTGCGCCATTGTTGGGCAGAAGTAGTGTCAAGAGGTGAATCAATCCCCGAATGTGGACTTCGGAGAGTGCGCTCAGTTGTGTAGCGAGGCCGCGTCTCTTGCGCCGGTTCACTTCGCGCCACAGCGATCCTCAGCGGGTTGGCGGAGGGGGGGGGGCCGGCGGGCCCCGAAAGATTAGGCACG